TGTGTGTGTGTGTGTGTGTGTCTGTCTGTGTGTGTGTGTGTGTGTGTGTGTGTCTGTCTGTGTGTGTGTGTGTGTGTGTGTGTGTCTGTCTGTGTGTGTGTGTGTGTGTGTGTGTGTCTGTGTGTCTGTGTCTGTGTGTGTGTGTCTGTGTGTCTGTGTCTGTGTGTGTGTGTCTGTGTGTCTGTGTGTGTGTTCCTGCAGGTGTTTGTGGGGAAGATCCCGCGGGATCTGTACGAGGACGAGCTGGTTCCTCTGTTTGAGAAGGCCGGCTCTATCTGGGATCTGAGGCTGATGATGGATCCTCTCACCGGTCAGAACCGCGGCTACGCCTTCATCACCTTCTGCAGCAAAGAAGCCGCGCAGGAAGCTGTCAAATTGGTGCGGGTCGTCCTGATCCATAATCGCTAACAATAATGAATGAAAATCAGTCTTTAGCCCCTTATACACGGTGTTATTTTAGTTATATTTATATACTATTATAGTTTTATTCATTAACTTTTGTTAGCGTAATTTCATTTAATTTTTTTTTTCAGAAAACAAGACAAAAATAACAAATTAAACCTAAATAGTAATATAGTAATAACAAAAATACCAAAAGCACATGAAAAAATAGCTATCATTTAATGAAATCAATTTCAAATATAAAATATATTTCAAAAAATTAAATATATAATAACAAAAGTTAACTCCTATGCTTAAAATAAGAAAAATATTTACCAATATGCCAATTAAGTCATAAAAAATAAACTTCATTCAGTGGGAAAACAAGCTTATTTTTCTAACCCCGTTGGCAGATATTTTTTCTTGTAATAAATATAAATTTGCTTTAAAAAAACAAGACTCATTATCTTTAGTAATTTTGCTTCTCCAGTAAATGCATCTTCATTTAAAGATGTTTAAACTGGAAAACAAGACAGAAATACGTTTGCAGTGCAGTTAGTAATTTTTGTGCTTCAACTTTCGTGCCAAGGCTTTTTTTTTTTAATTATTAGTTTTAATCAAATTTTATATTTTATTTCAGCTTTAATTCAATTTCAAGAATGTTTTTAATAATTTAAATGACAACAAAAACAGCTGAAAAAAATCAATTATCAAATTAATAAATAGCTACTTATGGGTGACCAAAGGTGAGGCTACAATTACTAGCATAAAACAGCAACTATACATGTACATGCACACACCAGGGTTCCCACGCTTCTTGAAAGTGCTTGGATTTCAGACGTATGGATTCAAGGCCTGGAAAGTACTTGAGAACAGGCATAAGTCCTTGAAAGTGCTTAAATTAACTTTTGTTTATGGGGCTATTTCAAAAATTCTCCTATATGTTCTGGCAAAGAAAACGAAACGGCACTAATGATGGGGGTGGAGATGGGGAGCGCGGAAAAAAACATTCTAATATTGTATATACAGGGATTCAAGTTTTCCGTCGCTACAACGGATTTCCGTCAATTAGAAAAAATGAGGGGAAAAGAAACATGTAGCACGTTGTTGTTGTTGTTGTTCTGCCGGCACCAGAAACCATCCCCGCCACGGCTGCAGCTTCTCACTGACAACATAACGCTCGCATCATTCACAGTCGGGTTATTAGCAGAGAACACAGAGCAGG